CAACTGATTCTACCGTTGGTGCATGGGACAATTCTACCAGGGGTTTGGATGCTGCTGCTGCGGTTGACTATGCTCGAAGCCTTCGAATTATGACGGACGCTTGTGGCAAGGCAACCATCGTGACACTCTACCAAGCCTCTGATGCCGTGTACAAATTTGCAGATAAAGTTTTACTTATAGACGAGGGACGGATGTTGTTCCAGGGCCCTGCGAACAGAGCAACGTCTTACTTCGAAGACTTGGGGTATAAACGCCACCCCAGACAGACCATCGCAGATTTCCTTACTGGCATCACATCCGCTGAAACTCGATCTTTTCGGGCCGGTTTTGAGGCACGTGCCCCTAAAGGGGCAATCGAATTGGAAAAGGCGTTCAAAGAAAGCAAAGATTTCAAGGTTATCCAGCAGGATATCCAGAATTACGAAGAGCAACTTTCCAGCTCCCGTAAAAGAGTAACGCCCCAAGCCAATGACTCTAATTCCACACTGGAAGACTTCACAACCCTTGCCCGGCAGAAGAAGTCTCGTTTCGTTTCGGCTACATCGGTTTACAACACTTCTCTGGTAAAACAAATTGTGCTTTGTACGAAACGTCAGTGGTGGCTCCTCAAAGGTTACCCTTCGCATTTGTACTTGAAACTGGGTAATTCTATTGTGCTAGCACTTTTGATATCGTCTCTGTTTTTTAACCTACCCGCTACCACTAAGGGTGCCTTCTCCCGCGCGGGTTTTCTCTTTTACAGCGCCCTTACCTTGGCCTGGATCCAATTGGCTGAACTTGAAGATTCCGTTCAAGGCCGTGGCATCATTAGCCGTCAGAAACGGTTCGCCTTCGTGAGGCCGAGCGCCGTTGCCTTTGCTCGTACTTTGTTCGACTTCGTAATAGTCTTTATAATGTCTGTCGTGTTCAACATAATCGTCTATTTTATGGCCGGCTTCAAATTGGATGTGAGTACTCTGAGATCCATGAGCTCTTTTGTATTTCCGGTAAATTTTTGATGTTACTAACACGGCTTATATTTTAGGCTGGATCTTTCTTCATCTTTTTTCTCTTCTCGTACCTGTATACTGTTTGCCAGACTTCTCAATTCCGGCTGTTTGCGGCTTTCTCGAGTTTCGAAGTGGCCCTACGATATTGTGGCGTGATATTCCTAATCGCCATTACCTATAGCGGCTATCTGCTCCCGTTAAACAGGCTAATTTCTCGGGTGCCTTGGGTTGGGTGGATTGCGGTAGGCATATTGAACCCCTACCTCAAAACATCTAGTATGCTAATTATTGTCCATAGTATTCCACACCGGTGATATACACCTACGAAGCATTAATAGCTAATGAGTTCCATAATCTTGAACTCACTTGCGATCCCGCGTCGATTGTCCCTTCAGGTCCTAATTATACAAATCCGATGTATCAGTCCTGCGCGGGCGCTGGCAGTGTGCCGGGACAGCTAACTATCAGTGGTGACGCTTATCTTGCAAGCAGATATGGTTTCTATTATCGCAACGTATGGAGAAATTTCGGCATCTTGGTTCTGTTTACCATAGCATACACGGCTATGAATGCTTGGCTTTGTGAGGTCCTGGAATGGGACGACGGTTCTGCTGGCGCTGTTTTATATGGCCAAAAGAGCAAACGACGACGAAGTGCGGCGGTCAGCGATGAGGAGAATAGAGCTATTGATGGCGACCACAAGGCTCCCCCAGAGATGACAGGAACAGATTCCCGCGGCGCCCGCGGCGCCCCCGCCATGAGCATTGCGAAGACGCAATCGACCTTTGCGTGGCGGAAATTGAGATATACTATACGACAAGGAACCTCAGAGAGGGTCTTGCTAAATAATGTTTCTGGATATTGCCAACCGGGCAAACTTACAGCATTAGTTGGATCATCTGGTGCTGGTAAATCAACATGTAAAGCAATCATCCACTCGCTACGACACTTTTTAGAGTGCTAAACAACTAACACTAACCCCTTAAATAGTGTTGACTGTTCTCACTCAACGCCAGAACACCGGCACGCTGACTGGCGATCTAATGATTGATGGAGAAGTCCCGGACATGACATTTCGTCGGAAAATTGGATATTGTCAGCAGATGGATCTCCAAGACGGCACAAGCACAATTAGAGAGGCTTTTGAATTTTCCGCATTATTACGGCAGGGATATGATGTCCCGCGACAGGAGAAGCTTGCCTATGTGGACACGATCTTACAAACTCTTGGGCTTATGGAGCTGCAAGATGCTGTGATAGGCTCACTGCCAATAGAGCAAAAGAGACGGACGACCATCGGAGTTGAGCTTTGTGCCAAACCAAGCCACCTTTTGTTTTTGGACGAACCTACAAGTGTAAGTTTTCTATTCTGTCATTTGATCACTTGGGATGCTAGAAATAACACTCGTCTTCTACAGGGTCTCGATAGCGAGGGTGCGTTCAGCATCGTCGTATTACTCAGGAAGCTTGCGGATGCAGGGCTTTCCATTGTGTGCACCATCCACCAAGCAAGTCATAAACAGATTGAACTTGTAAGTTATACTCACTCCCTTAATGCCACCAGCCGTTCGCTAACAATTTTCAGTTCGACCGTGTCCTCGCATTGAATCCTGGAGGCAACATATTTTACTTCGGGGATGTTGGACCATCTGGGAAAACTATATGCGATTATTTCGGCCGTCACGGTATTGCCATCGAACCGGGGAAGAATGTGGCAGACCTTCTTATTGAAGTTGGTGTCGGAGCAATTAAGGTGGAAGGGAAGGAAATGGACTGGAATAACGTGTGGAAGTGCTCGCCCGAAGCAGCCAAAGTTGAGGAACTAGTCGACGTTATCTGCACCAAAAAGGGAAAGGAAATTGCCGTGGACCAAAATGCCGATAAGAGGGAATATGCATCCTCGACATTCGAACAAATAGTCCAACTCACAAAGCGCCTATCTCGGCAATACTGGCGCACCCCCGAATACCCCTATTCAAGACTTTATGCATCCGTCATCCATGCTTTACTCAATGGACTCACCTATCTGCAAATTGGAAATAGCGAGACGGACATGCAATCGCGAGCGTTCTCCTGTTTCTTAATCCTCATGCTTGTCCCGGAATTCGTCAACGGCACCGCGATGAAGTTCATTGAGAATCGCGACATGTGGTTAGAACGCGAGTATCCAAGCCGAATATATGGATGGTTCAGTTTCTCCTCTGCTCAAATCTTAGCTGAACTACCATATGCGTTTATCGGAGGAACTATTTTCTATCTTATTTTCTACTTCTGTGTGGGACTACCTCTCGGTACTCCGGCTGGCTATACCTTTCCCATGGTTCTCTTCTTCCACCTTTTCGCGACCTCCTGGGGCCAATGGATTGCTGCAATGAGGTTCGTATCCGAAAACCCTCAACCCTTTTGAAAACATACTGACCAAATCCTTACCAGTACCGACGCTGTCATGGCTGCCAACCTGATGCCTTTCTTCCTGATCATGTGCGAGCTGTTCAATGGCATTCTGCGACCTCAAACAGAGATGCCTGCCTTCTGGGCTTATACCATGTATTACATTGCACCATTTACATACTGGATCGGAGGCATTCTCTCGATGGTCATGAAGGGTGTCAAAGTCACCTGCGACGCGAGTGAATTGATAACCTTCTTTGCCCCTCCAAACCAAACATGCGCAGAGTACGCCGGCTCATGGATTACTTCGGCCCGCGGATACCTAGCTAACCCAGAGGGCATGGAAAGATGCCAGTACTGTTCGTATCGCTTGGGTGACGACGTAAGTAACTCGCCATCTCCTCTTTTTATCTCTTTTCTGTTTTATCTTCCACATCTCCAAGTATTGGCTGGGAGGACACATGAAATTCAATCCATTTGGCACACACGCTAACCGATTAAAATCACCAGTTCCTCGCTAGAAATAACATTTCTAGTTCCAACGCCTGGCAATACCTAGGCATTTTCGTCGGCTTCGTGGTTACGAACTACATGATCATATATTTGTTTGTCTACTTCTTCTCCGTGAAGAGGTTGTTCAGAAGGTCCAAATGATCCGAGGCAGTTCGCCTATATATATATATATATATATATATTGTGTCTTGGGGAAATAAAATTTCGCCCTGGAACTCGATTTCTTGCTTTTCTATTGACGATTATACTATGGTTGGGAATATACCTTAAGATTGCATATATTGACTTTTCTTTTGTTTTTTTATCTTTCTCACCAAGATCATTTGCTTTTGAGTTTAGATTTGGGAAACGCATTTCATTGAAGTGTTTTTAAGAGAGTATGTCCTCAATCTCGTCGTCGGATTCTCATTAATTATTTTCTTTTTAAAACAGACTGTGACGATATTTATTTTCTAATGAATGTGCATAGGCACTCAACCATACCTCTCCATCTATCCTGCATAGCTTAGTTCAATTTCAATTTGCCAGTCAGCTTCAACTTTCAGTTCATTCCACCAGCCATACTTCAGTCATTATCTAGCGATGCCATGTAGAGATCACCTCAAAACCCGTTACAAACACATAGCTATCTATCTAAACTGGCTATACGAGAATTCAATTCAACCTTCCGTGCAAATACACAGACTAGCACCAAAAACACACGTGTATACATACCTGCATACATTAGCGATCATCGCCATCCATAAATGGCATCCAATATATCGCGCGTCTAACAAGATCTTGAATTTGTTGTCCTCATCCTCATCCTAATTAGATTCCAAAGACCCAGTCTAGCATGAGGGGGGGTGGAGGAACAGCGCGCAGAAATAGAAGCGGAAGGAGGAAAAGGAAGAGAGCGGTGGTTTGGGAAGGGGAATATACATCCAAGCATATAAACAAACTATGACAATTTATATAAAATGACATGTTATTCACAGCATAAGTAAGGGGTTCCCATGTCCCGCCATCCAGTAGCAAAGCCAAAAACCTAAACCAAAAAATAGAGAAGAAAAAAATTAAAATACAACAAAAAGAAATTTAAACAAAAACTAAGACCAAATAAAAACCTCAGTTCGACGACCCAACCCTAGCCCTCTTCCTCGCCCCTCCCCTTCCCCCTCTCCCATCCCCATCCCCATTCCTCTCCCCATCCCCCTGCCCAATCCCCATCCCCATCCCAACCCCAACCCCAACCCCAATCCCGATCGACTCCGAACTCAAAACATCCTGCATGACAAATGACGCACCATCATTATTACTATTATCCCCCACACCGCCTCCGGGCTCAGACACCTGCATAATCGACGACACGTTAAAGACAGGATCACCCCACACCTGCCTCATAGCATGATGCTGATGTTGGTGCGGATGCGGATGCGGATGCGGATGAGGATGCGACTGCGACTGCTGGTGCGAACCGTGATGGTGATGGTGGTGATTCTGCTGGTGCGTGGGCTGATTTAGGCCGGCTGCTATTTGCTGGCTGGTGCTGGTGTTGCTGGCGCTATTGCTATTGTCCGGCACAGCGGCGGAGGTGGGGGAATGGAAGGCGTCCGCTAGGCGGTCGTAAGGGTGGGCTAAGGGGCTGGAGAAATCGATGTTGAAGTTGCTGATAAAGGCGGGGGAGTTGGCGGACATGGCTAGGCGGGAGAGGCCGGGGGATTGGGAGTGGAGGTCTATGCCTTGTAAATGGGGTGGCTGTGGGGGTTGTAGCTGAGTGGGGTTTTGTATTTGGCTATCCGAGGTTGGGAGGGGGGGGGTTGGAGAAGGGTGTCCGAAAAGTGTTTGTTGTAGGAATTGGGGGAAAGGAGGTGGTGGGGGGGGGCTAAGGATTTCAGGTGTGTGGGTTGAGGGGGGTGGTACATGGGAGGTGTCTCCTGATTGCTGTCGTTGCGGCTGCTGCTGGTGCGGTTGTACCATAAGCTGTGGTGGCTGTTGGTACCACGACTCACGATGATCGGTTTGAAGCGTGTTCGGACTTGGAATCGTTCCGCTTTCTGAAAGTCCCGCTGATATACATCGTAGGTTATCGGCTCTGACTTTCTCCCCGGTTCGACCTGCAGCAACAAGTGCCTCCAGAAGATCAACACAAGCCGATACTGATGTTTTTATATCACTCTCCTTTTTCGGAGATCGTTCGATTTTTGGCTCGCCAGATAGAAACTCTGGCAGTCCGAATAGAGACAGCAATCCACAAGACCACAAAGTATATACGTGTGAGCCGGGATTGACATCGAATACTAGTAAATGACGCAGGGCTCGGGAATTCAAGCTGATGAGTTCTTTGGCAAATTCCATGCATTTTGTGAGTGAGATGGCATACTGCGGTTCTGAACGGAAGAAGGAGAGCGCAACTCGGTGCGCCGCGAGTCGGGTATACAGGTAGGATATATGCAAGAAGGCAATCGAGGGTTCGATGAGTAGAAGCGTCTCTTTTGAGGAGGCGGATGGATGAGTAAAGGCGCTTGGATCTAGTTGAAGATGATCTGGAAGCGTATGGATCCATTGGTCTAGCAATCGATCGATCGTCTTGATCTTGGTAACGGTTTGCCTTCTGTCTGTTGTGGTGTAGAGGATTTCAAGGGTATTAGAGAGTACGCGAACCACTTTGATCAGCGAAACGAAGGTTAGCATTCCCGTCGGTTCTCCCGGAAGGGAGAGCAGGTAGCCGCTTTGGTTGACGAAGTCATCATCGACATCTGATGGAAGTTCGACGTCGATATCTTGATCGCGAAAGGACTTTGGCAGTCCATATATCGCGCATACGAAACTAGAGTTTTAAGAAAAAGCAAAGAGAAATATTGTTTCTATATCAGATAATGCTCAAAATATGTAGAAAATGAATGAGAACTCCCAACCGTACTTATCAAGCATATAGCAAACCCAAAAGACCCGCTTCCTCAACTCAGTCTCCAACGGGTCAAACTGAAATCGTCTTGTATGCCGATGCAGTCCCAATTCCAGCGCTAACCGCGTCATGCTTCCCGTCATTTGAAACGCTAAGCTGCGTTTTCCGGTATATAGAAACCACAATGTCTGCAGCTCCTGATACTGCATGGTTGCGAGATTGTTCATTGCTAGGATATCATTATGGTACTTGGACGACTGGCTGTAGTACTCGATATCCTCCTGGTTGCTCTCAACGGTAGGTTGTCCATCGACAACCTCGCCAATCATGAAAAGGTGTCGGCACCCAAGGGCCAGGATGAGGTAAAAGAGCCCTAGAACACACCAGTCATGCTCAGAGGCAGGAGCACTATACAGCTGGTTGATCGAATTGGTGAACGAAGGTCGATGCAGAATGGGGAATATATGTCTCCAGGCGTCAAACCAGGCGTCAATGTATCCCTGAGCAGTCTCACGGGGTGGTAAGGGGGTTAACGTCGCAGATGTGTTAACAGCATAGTGAACGGGATACTCTGTGCTCTCATCATCAACGTCAACTCTAAGCAGAGCATCTCCGACTTTCTTATCCGGGGGGTTCTGAGAAAGGCAAAACCGTTGCTCAGCGGTCCCTATGAAGAAGATGCCGGAAGAAGAGCCCATGAAGCGACCAATCCCTCTTCGATCGAGATTCATACGCCCGACCTCTCGCGAGAGAGGTTCGTCTGTAGCCGGCCGCGGGCCCAGCTTAGCCACAGTGTCTGGACGGTTACTCGTTGTGGAAGTGCCAGCTTGTCTTGGGGATGCGATATTTGCACCCGAAGCTTCCAGTTCTTTGATACGTTTATCTTTGGAGTCATTGCCAACTCGCAGCTTGTGGACCTCCGCTTCAAGCTGTCTCAATCGTTCCTCGATGGATTCCGTATAGCTAACCAGTCACAATAATCAATCAATCATCATCATCATCATCATCATCATCACATCGTCAGCGATCTTCAACCCTCATATCCATTCCATAATATACATACCTTCTTGGATATGACTTGCGATTCAGCTTGACGGTGGTAAGACACTCGAGGCCAGCCGCTTTGCATCTCCCACACTGTATTTTTGTAGCGGTGATAAGCTGATGCTTCCCCGCCAGAAGAAATGGGAAGAAAGAAAGAAAGAAAAAGAAAGCATCGAGGCTTTCAAGGAAACACGTATTATATAATATGGATGGCTATGAATCGCGGTCTATACATACTGCCGGAACCGTGCCATCGCATCGAACCTAAAAGTATAAAAGACGATTTTCATTCATCAGCGCCGTGTCGCCCGACAACAACTGTCATGTCATGTCTGCCATGCCATGCCACACCATCCCATCACAGGTCAACATGTATAGGATAAATTAACCAAGCATCACCACCATGATCTCATAATCCACCACATTTGCAACCAAACACATAAAAACATGAAGAAAACACCCACCTTCTTAAACCGACACCTGTCGCACGCCTGTATAGTTCGGCCCGTCGAAGTTAGCGCCGGCGAGCCCGAAGGGGGATGCTGCAATTGGGCATAGGCGGGGTTATTGTTATTCTCGCGATCAGCAGCAGCGTCGCTGGAGTGAGGCGATTCCTCCGTCATGCTGTGTTTAACTGTTGATATTTATATATATATATATATCTCTATATATATAATGCCTAGGTGTGTATATATATACATACATATACATATATATGGGGGTCTGCGCAGGTCGAGGGGAAGGGCAGAAGAAGTTTCAACGGGGGTTTGGGGGTAACTGTAACCGCATGGAATAGGAGAGACGGCATTGTTCCTAGCCAACCTAGCTGCGGGGATCGTGTAATGGGGGAGCGCGCATTGTTTCTTGGTGTTCTGGTGTGCTGGCAGGGTCAGAGTCAGTCTCTCGGGGGGTTCTCCTGGCGTCTATGCTGTGAGTTTGCCATTCGATCGGAATATGGTGTGGTGAACTAACTAACTACCTGAAGGGAATGGATGGGATGGATGATGTTGGCTGTTGCAGTCTGCCAATGCGATACTAAGTTAACTAATACTTGGAATTGGGTGGTGGGAAGTCAGAGGTGTGCGTCTCGCTACTCCCTGGTCGTCTGCCTACCTTGGAGTTAGCTAACTCACTAACTGCCACTGCTAATTACTTAACAGCTGCTATTAACGTTATGGGATCCTCCGACTCTGTGAGGAGTTCCCCAGTTTGATTATACGAAGAATTCACTATTAGTTGAGCGCAGCCGTTTATTAGTGGCTAACTACGGGGCTGCTCTGGTCACGTGCCTCCCTATGCCATGTAGTACCCCCGGATTATCGTATTGGACCAGGAACAAGCAGAAGAGTGAACATTTGTGTAAGCATATTTTATAGAAGCAGCAGCACCAGTAGTAGTAGTAGTAGTAGTAGTAAGAGTTACTTGTGGCGCTCATCATGTCATTAGAACCTTGAAAATGGGTTGCACTGTAAAAGAAGAACCACTGAACGAAAAGCAAAAAAAAAAGGGGGTATAAACAAGACGACGGCAAAACATGATTAAAACAGAAATAAACAGCGATCATGGAATAAAACCTCAAGCAGACAGCGTGAATACAGGAAGAGATAAGTAATATAAGCAATAGGGGAAATATCGTAGCAAAAGCCTCATCAGTGGTGGTATCAGTCTCATTCATTATCGAGAACAATCAACAGAAAGGGACAACGGCGCGCAAAAAAAAGAAGAAGAAGAAGAAAAGAAAAAAGGAACAGAAAGAAAAAAGGAAAAGAAAAAAAAAAAAAGAAAAGAAAGGAAAAAGGAAAAAAAAAGAAAAGAAGAGAGAGAGAGAGAGAGAGAGAATGGCAACAAGCAACGTAGAGAAGAAAATACTCAATCCCATTCCTCCACATCCATCCCATCATCCTCAATCTCAATCGTCGTGCCCAGTGCCTCCCTCCCTTCCTTAATCATCGTTTTCAACTGCTGATTCAACCGACGGATGCTCGCATCCTCCTCGCGTTCCCGCCGCTTCGCCTTGGCCGCATACCGCTGCACTTCAAGGGACACAGGCGAACTCCCTTGTTTGGTCGGGCCTCTTGATCGGTTGGGTTCGAAGGGCGACGAGGAGGCGTTCTTCGGGCTGAAGTGATGACGATGATTTTGATGATGATGATGATGATTGTTGTTATTGTTATCGGTATTGTTGGTGTCGTTGGTGTTATTGTAAAGGTGGTGCGAAGACGAATACGAAGATGACGGTCGCGATGCCATGGGTATCAGACTCTGTCTCCTGGCCAGTCTGCCCACTGCGATTCGTCGCGGGGTGCTGACGGGGTGGTGATATATGCCATTGCTCTTGGGCGGCATCTTGCGAGCTGAAGTGTATGAAGAAGATGAGAGGCTAAAAGCCTCTTCTTCCCACGCGCTTTTACCCTTCCTAACCAGAACCCAGTTCCCCTGTAGCTCATCGTGGTTAACACTGTGAAGGTATCGCTGGCTATTAGGAATAGATGCGGCGGGGAACTGTCCCGGGAGGTTAATCGGCCCGTCCGTCCGTTTATCACCGGAGGAGAAGTCACCATCCTTCTCACTGACATTCTGCCGCGAGCCCGCGTCGACCAGTCGTGGCATCGTCGATGCCTGCGACGACAGTGGTGGGCGCTGTTCAGAAGGCATCTCATAGCCCTTCCCACCCCCAGCATAAAACCCACGAAACGGACCCGGCCAGCAAAAGTCCCATACCTTCACCGCAACGCCGCCAACAATCTTGATCACAGCAGAGCCCCAGCCACGCCCTCCATCGCCACCGCCCTCCGAAGAACCGTCCACCCTCATCCCATCCTGCTGCGACGACAACGTCGACTCCCGTCTACTCCGCTTCCTCGCCGTACTCACATCCCGCCCACCACAGACGGGAGACGCAGACAATGAAGGAGTGTCCGTGGGCATATGCACCAGGTCCCGATAGCGATTCGGACGATAATCCACCTCCGGCCCATTCGCGTCATCATCATCGTCATCATCATTATCATAGTAGCCCTGTTTCTCAAACGGGAGCGTCGATGACGTCTCCACACCGCCCGCAAAGCGATAGGTGGTGTTAACCAGCGGCGTCGGGCTGGCGATGCGCGACAGAGAGGTTGTCGTCATCGACCGGTCCCGCCATGTCGTAGCAGTGATGCTACTTGTATTCAACGTAGTGCTCGCGGCAGTTTTGGAAGGAGAGAAAGAAGAGCGCTCTTCCAGAAATCCAGCAGCGTCACCGTCACCAGCCACATCTCCGTAGCCGTATCGGGCCCGTTTTTTGCGACTGCCATGGTCCGAACGGGCGGAGCGATGGAGCAAGGAGGCGGCGGATGGCGTCTGGGGGGAGCGGTAGAATTGGGATCTGGCGCCGACAAGGTCGAGTTTGGGGGGGATGGGGGAGTCCAGGATGAAGGTGCCTGGCATGGGGTAGTCGGGGAGTGTCATTGTGTTAATCGCTATGTATGGTTTGTGGGTTGGTTTTGGTGTTTAGAATGTGGATGGAAGGTGTCTTTTTTCTTAGACGAAGACGACGACGACGATGTCGATATATTTGGAGTAAATAAAGAAGCCTGTTACCCGTCGCCTTCTTCTTTTTCTTCGTTTCTTCTGTCCTTTTGTACCTTTTGATCTTATCCGTGTTGCCCTCCCAGGCTGACAGCAGGCCGCTGAGCGGTTGTGGACAGTTCTGGGCACGTCCAGCCTCAGACCAGGCGTTTCGTCGTCGGGCACGTTGCAGCGTTTGACGAAAGGCAGTTAGTTAGTTACATCATCAACGCCCGAACGTGATCAATCTGTCAAAGCTAACTAACTACATCCCAACATCACACCGTGCGCAACCTGATTCACACTTTGAGAAACACTTTCCCGCCCGTAGTTAAATATATAAATAACCTCTTACAAAGTAAACAACAACTGACTGCGGAGCAGATTAAAAATAGCTATTCCACCGTGGATCATTTCCGGTGCACGGGAGAATAAACAAACTCTCAGGCAGCACACTCAGCCATTGGAACCATTTGTTATCTCGCATGTAATAAATTCTCACAGAGGCAATAGTTACTTGGAGGTTAATACCAAAATCATATGAAATATCCTTTCAAATCTATGGGCAGCTAGAAGCTCTATGTTTTAAACTGTCTGTCATATTACAGTGTTGATGAACAAGAACATTCCATGAAAACAGTCAATCCTAACAGAGAATGCCACCATCCAAATGTATCTTGCAATTTTAACCATGCCCCGGTAGTATACCAAATCAACAATTAAAATAAAATAAAATAAAATAAAATCCAAGATCAACTCAGATCCAATCTACAACTTCTGTGCCCTCCAAGTCACACCCGCCGCCGCCAGCGCATCCTCCCCATCCACAAGCACACACCACCCTTCGTGCCCAGCACTCCCCTCCATCCCGGCAACCGCAGCCTTGAAGTTCTCCCGCGCATACGCAAGCACCTCGTCGTCAAAGGTGCCCGGCTGCAGCCACACAGCGGGTATATCCACCGACTTGGCCTCCTTCAACACCGCAAGCGTCACTTTTGGCGGCGTCACGACGGAGAGCGATGTCTGCTTGGGTGACGGGAGCGCGGAGGGAGACGGTGTCGTGCTGTATGTGTGCGAGGGGAAGGCGATTTCGGGGGCCCACGGGTTCAGCGGGGTGACGGGCAGGGAGTGCTGGTGGTACCAGGCGAGGACTGTGTGTGGTCGGGAAAGAGGTGATTTGAACGTATCAGAATTATTTTACTGCGTCTGCGCGTGCAACGACCTTGCAACCAGTTTATTTTTCCGGGAGGCCGGAGGTGGTTTGCTTACTCTTGTAGCCGAACTTGCTGGGGTCAGTGCTCGCGCCAGCTACGGCGAAGCGGGGTGAGGAGAAGAAGAGTTTGGCTGCGGCCTCCATTTGTTTGACCGGAGGCGTTTGTCTTTTTCGTCAACTGAAAGGGAAGAGGGGAGGACGGCAGGTAACTCTGTATATTGGTTTTGGTATGATGATGGTTATGATGTTTTAAATTACCTGTGATCGGATGATGGGACGATATATATTAGGATTTTATAGATTGAAGTTTATGGTTGTTTTCGCCGTAACTAACTACCTCGGCCGAGGTCCGATTCTGCTGCAGATATTTTAAATATACAGCACCTTCTATGCCAAAGTATATGAATTAGATTGAGCATGCGATTTTCGGCTACCAGGACAATATCTTCACTGTCGCCTACTCTGCAGGTGTCATTTGTTACAGCAGCTAATAGAGGTTTAGGATCTTCGTTGTATTTCAAAACTCTCGGTTATCTAAATAACTACTATGAAGCGAGCAGAACATAGTCAACACAAAGGCACAAATCAACATGAACGTGGTTCAGAAGTAAAGGGGGATAGACATGGCCATACGCATAACTACAAGTACCGGACCCCAGAAGTCCAAACTTAGCAATTTAAGTATCCAGCCTGCAGATCAGGCTATCATCAAGGATATTCCATTGTGGCAGAATGGTTGCAACGTAACGTCCAGAATCGACACTCGGGATTCCCCCTTCCCTCACCAACGACAGGGCCTTGCTCGGCGGGCGTCCCCTATCAAATTCTCCGTAAATCCTAGGAAAGCTGCCCTAAGCGGATCTATATGTCTCTCACCCAGCGGGTGAAAAGGGAGCCGACTGATTCATCTTCAAATATGGTTTGCCTTTGCTTTCGCCTGTTTCCAGATAGTGGATGTATTTGTCATCGTATTCGGCAACGGTGAGACAGATCTCAGCATGATCTTGACTAATCATCAATCGCCTGTGATATTAAATTAGCTGCTGGCGAGTCAAGACACTGAGTGTAAGGGAATGATAAACGAAGATTTCGTTTAAACTGTTGGAATTGGAAGCATTGTTTTTCCTGTGCGTTGGTCTGGCAGTTCTAATTTGTCCGGTTCAACTTGTATCCATGCTGCCAGCCATTTGCGGACTTTCTTGAATCCATGGTCGAAGCAGCGGATCTGATACTAACTTTGGTCTCGAGGATTGCCGACGATTCCTCATTAATCTCCCCACCGTTCACGCGGAGATGGCCATCAGTTCTCGTTTCAAACCCACTTTGTTCGGTCACCACATGATATTCTTTGCCATTTCGGATGCGGGTTGTCGCGCAACTCTATGTTTAAAAATGAACACCTTGAGTTGCAGAGTCCATATCGCACCTTTACCCGTAGCCAGAGCGTAAGTGTATCGTCCAAAAAGAACCGTCGTCATGTAGAGAAGGCATCCGAGCCCCGGACATGTCTATCGGTATTGGTTGGGATTCCTTCATATGGTTCTCGTGATTATAGGCGACCCGACCTTCTCCGAGCGGTTGTTAGTCACTTTGGGTAGTTGCTCAATCTGTTTCTGGAAGTCCCAGAGCAAGTCAAATCTTCGGAAAAGATCCACATCTTCAAGGGTCGGTTGGGCTTTGATCATTATTGCCTCCAGGTCCTTTCGCCAGCCTGGCTCTTTTATCAGCTTCCACCTATAAGTGGTCCAAGTCGAAATGCATCTCTTCGTTCCAAGGCTGTCGGGATGTGCGACTTCCAGTAAATACGAAGCGTGTAGAACTGGTTTCGTTAGATCTAGATGATGGTTTATAGTTTGGAAAGTCGCAAATGGAGACGTTGCAACCCATTTTGGTTGAGCTTTCTCTTCCCATTCCTGCTCGTATGTTGGGATCTATTCTAGGATGAACTGTGACATTCCGAAGGGAGCTGCACTTAATTAGAAATGCTCAACACAAAACTGTGCCATAAATGAAAACTAACTCACCTACCCAAGTTAGCTTGGCATTGGGAGGAAGTATGGGAAGGTAAAAGACAAAAGTAACAATCTTTTGATTAGGGATTCACAAGGGGTATTGGTGTTTTGAAATGAAATCATGATGGACATTGTTCTTTCACAGAGTTAAACTGCCGCATTTTAACTACCTAGGCTAGGTAGTTCCATGTAAAGATCCCAGGAGCTGGGGGGGGCCTGGTTAACCGCCCGAAATCTTTCGAGGGGTTCTCAAAAACCAGTTCAATTAAGTCAGCTCATCTTTCTAAGCGCTGAAGTGGATGAAACGATGGATTTGGAGCTCCGAACTTGATATGCATAAGCACTTCACTTTTTTGTCTAGTTATTTGTAGCATGTTAAAATGGAGCATCTTGATGTGATGCGTGAAAATCCAGCACCCAGCTATGGATCCTGGTACTTTGCTACATAGTTTTGTTATTGGTTTTGGCAAAGAGGTCCAGCTCTGAAGGCACAGTCGCTTGTTTCCAATAACTTTGACAAGATATATTTCAATTACTTTGCCGTCAGATGCAAACCCCTGCATGAATATTGCTCAATGTAGAAGTTCCTTTTTTTTTTCAGGAACAGACTGAAACACCACTCATTGGCGTTCTAGGACTCAACATCCAATAAAGGATGGATCGTGGATGCTGGAGGCATCATTGACATGATGACAGTTTGTGGAGAACCGTTTTGGTTCCGGCGCTTAACAGGAATCTAATCAGTGATCACCCATATTCGGCACGAAGAGAACCCCATCGCGTAGCAATATCGCACGCTTCGTATCCGAGATCCTCAAGTCTGGCTCGAAGGATTCCAAGCAAGACGATACTCGAGCAGCCGTCTCAGCACCCGCTGGAGGCAATGAAACCATCTTTATTCAAAAATCAAAGGGTTAAGGCGAAGGATCCTAGAAGTGGTGGCGCAAGAAGCAAGAGAACTCGAGAACTCATTGTCACTCCTTTTGAATTGTAAGTTTGTTCCCTGTGGTGTTTGCCCGATTGAAACCTGGATCCATCTGTACCTCTTGGACCACTGTGTTTGTTTTGGTGTAGTTAATGTTGTCGTAGTGTGTGATTGGGGTTTTGTTGAGAAATAGCAGCTGTTTTTCTCTTCACATCAATTCTAAACCTTCACTTCTTTTCATTTCTCCTTAGCACAAAGGTGTGGAATAAAGTCCTTGCACTGGAAATATATCCTCAACACTATGAGGATCCCGAGAACCTATTAACGTGAGTGTTCAATCTACATATTACCTGAGAATCTGGTTCGCTTGAATTTGAAAGACGCCGGAATCAATTAAGGTCACGTGCCTTCGCGATGTGGTCTCGGGCCAAAATTGGGGATCAGATTACTTTAAGATTCGAGATAGACTTCACAAACTAAGGAGCAGAGGGAGGCTTTAAGGAGCAGCATCTTGAAGACTTTTTTGATATCGTCGTACACCATACCTCAGCAGCCTGTATTATGTTTTGACCAAGATAAATGCGTTGATGCCGCCTTTCTTACCTCGGAAGAGGGGACTCTCGGAAGAATCTCTCCCCGGCAAACATCGTGCTCTTGAACTCACCGATCCAGGGCCATCGACAACGAAGCCAGTGAATGAGATCAGAGCGGACTTGTCAGATGACTCAGAATCGCCCCTGAGCTCCGTATCTTCAACGGATGTGGATAAGAATGGGGATGGACATGGAAATGAAGGCGATGATGAAACCAGCTCAGACGACGAGGAAGAGAACTGGGAAGATGCGCTTCAGGGGACCACCGCATCCATTACTACGCCAGCAGCTCCAGCCCCACAAGATCTAGAGCTTACGCTGGATAGAAGCCACCATACATACGTAGATATAGGGGCCCCGGGGAAGAAAGGGCCCAGCAAGATAGAAAGGGAAATACGTATCCAAACCCATTACATGCATGTGCAGTTTTTACTGTTCCACAATGCTATTCGGAACTGGTGGATTAACGACAAGAAACTTCATCAGATTTTACGAGACCGGCTACCACCAGCTATAAAGGGTGAGATTGAGAAGTGGGAAGTAGCAGCGGGTAGGAAGCTACCGAAAACATCGCAAAAATCGCCAAATGCCACATCTAAGGCAACAGAAGGGAAGAGGAAGAAAGATACAAATAGACAACAGCGCAATTGGGGAGAAGACGCTTCTCGTTTAGAAGCCGGCCAGCCGGAAATGAAGATCATCTCTGGGGGAGATCCAACGATCCAACTCTTGAAGGTCCTGGCCGCTCACTGGAGAAAACAATTCAAGATTACTGCACCTGGTTTACGGAAGAGGGGATATCGAACTATTGCAACACTCCAGGAAGAAATTGACTCTTTCCATAAGGGAGATCATAGTAAATATGACCATGGCGAAAGGATAGCTGATCTGAGTGAGTTTCGCGAACTGGCACGTCGCTCTGAGGGATCGCGAGATGTAGGCGCTCAGCTGTTTACGGCTTTGGTTAGAGCTCTGGGTATCGAGGCGAGGATGGTTGCAAGCTTGCAGCCTATCGGGTTTGGGTGGACGAAAGTGGAAAACTATCGTGTGGAGGATGAGAATCCGCCAACAGCGTCGATGGATGGGGAAGCAGTACCACCCTCCAGCGCGGAAAGTAGCGAAACGGATGACGATGAGCCCCCATTCAAATCTCATAGACGACGATCAACGAAGAAAAACGAAATTCCCAACAAGCGCTTTGACAATGACCTCCCATTCCCTATATACTGGACCGAAGCTGTTTCTCCAATTACGCACGAAATCATCCCCGTTGAAGCTCTCATTCTGCCCACCACTAATGCTGTTGCCACGACTCCTGAACTCCTATCCTCGTTCGAGCCACGGGGTGCAAAAGCTGAAAAAGCGAAGCAGGTAATCGCGTATGTCGTCGCATACTCACCCGACGCAACAGCCAAGGATGTTACTACCAGATACCTCAAGCGACATACGTGGCCGGGGAAGACCAGGGCGTTCCGCATGCCCGTGGAAAAAATCCCGATGCATAGCAGCAGAGGGCTGACGAGATATATTCTCTACGATTGGTTCAAAGATGCCATGAGGGGCTATGAACGGCCAGAAGACAAGAGAACAATCGTTGATGAGAAGGAGGATGCGAAAGACCTACTTCCTAATAAACCGGAGAAGAAGGTGCAGAAGAAGGAAGGGGATACGTTGCAGAGCTTGAGGTGTTCTTCGGAGTTTGTACTTGAACGATTTCTACGGCGCGAGGAGGCGATAAGACCTGGTGCAAAGCATGTTCGGACATTTACCAGTGGGAAAGGTGACAAAGTAAAAGAGGAGAAAGTATATAGGCGGGCGGATGTTGAGAAGTGTCTTTCTGCCGAAAGCTGGCATAAGGAAGGACGACAGATTAAAATGGGGGAGGCTCCTTTGAAACTCGTCCCTGTGCGTGCAGTAACGTTAACCCGTAAGCGGGAAGTTGAAGAAGCTGAGCGTGAAAGTGGTGAGAAGCAGAAGCAGGGTCTGTATGCCCTTTATCAAACAGAATATATCATCCCACCCCCAATTCAAGATGGGAAGATTCCGAAAAACGCCTACGGGAACATTGATTGCTTCGTGCCAACTATGATTCCCAAGGGTGCAACACATATACCCTGGCGGGGCACGGTGCGCATATGTAAGAAACTAGGCGTCGATTATGCGGAAGCAGTCACTGGGTTTGAATTCGGATCTAAGATGGCCGTCCCGATTATTGACGGGGTGGTTGTTGCAAGTGAAAACGCACAGCTTGTCAAGGACGCGTGGCGTGCAGAGGATGCTGAGAAGAGGAGAAAGGAGAAACTTAAGCATGACAAGCTTATTCTTTCTACGTGGAGGAAGTTTATTATGGGTTTGAGGATTGCGGAGAGGATCCAGACTGAATATGGAGATGGGGTGGATGGGGAGATGTTGAATCCGTTTGTCAATCGGCAGCGCGATGTTGGGGGTGGTGATCCGGGATCGGAGGAGGAAGAGAAAGACGGAGAGGGAGAGGGCAGGGGAGAAGAAAGGGACTCTGCTGATGAAGGTGGTGGATTTTTAGTACCCTGTGGTGATGAAGAGGCGTCGCTCGAGACGGATTTTGTTGAAGGAGAAGATCCACACTTGCGGATGCGTGCTAGAGTGACTTCCAATGTGAGGGGTAAGGATAATAGTAGAAATGACGACGAATCATTGTCTGAATTGAGCGATGCCATCTCTGTTATATCGATTGACTCAAGCCCCTGATAATTCTAGATTTTTTTTTTTTTTTTTTTTTACCTTCCGTCAATTTACGCTGGGTTGCAGCGAGATACTTTGACGGTTTGCATGGCGCACATTCCGTGTATGAATAAGTCAAAAAAGGGATATAGTACCATTAAAATCCTAGAACATTTTAATTTGCAATTGTATGCTAGAACACTATTCGATCTGAATAATTGTGCATCGTATCGTGGTTGGGCGGGAAATCATCAAGGGGTTAATATGGTTGGTTTGTTTAGATGACATCAGACCTTAGGCTTCCTATTATGGACTAGCGCACCGCACGCTACCAATACAACCACGTCGTTGACCGCATATACTTCTCATTCTTCTCCTGACATCATTTCAATTACGCACTCTCACACCCCCAATCGCCAGCGAGACTATCACAATGTCTCTATTATCCAAGACGCCAATATATTTTGGGTCTTATTTGGTAACACCACAGGCAAGTTTTACATTTTCCCCGCACAATTCCCACCCCACATCCGCATCCGCATCCTGCATCCCCGTTTAATATAATCTCCCCCGCAATACATCCGGGGATCCCCTCCTAAAACAACCCGCACACCAGGTATTCTACACAACCCCTCTCTCTTACGCTCTCGTAAACCTCAAACCCATACTCCCAGGCCACGTCCTCGTCTGCCCCCTCCGTCCCGTCCCGCGCCTCGCCGACCTCTCCACCTCAGAAACAAGCGACCTCTTCCTCACCGTCCGACGCGTAAGTCGCATGATCGAGCGCGTCTACCTTGGCACAAGTCTCAACATAGCAATACAAGATGGGCCGGAGGCGGGGCAGTCTGTGCCACATGTGCATGTGCATATAATACCGAGGAGGAAGGCGGATTTGGACCATCGGGGTGGTTCGGATGCTATATATGGGATGATGGAGGGGGATGAGGGGGATATTGCGAAGCAGTTGGGGGAGCTTGCGGAGGCAGGGAAGGAAGGGGTTGAGGTGGGGAGGGTTAGGTTTCCGGCTGTAGATAATGAGGCGCGAAAGCCGCGGTCGGAGGAGGAGATGAGGGCGGAGGCGTTGGCGTTGGCAAAGGAGATGGAGGGGGAACAGGTGGATTGAGATGGGGGTTGTGTATAAAATAAAGATGGAAGGATTGTGTCTCCGGGAGATTTTCAAAGGGTAGGTATGGCTGCTGATGATGTTGATGGGTCTTACTTTATGAATCATGCGACATTTGTAGATCGATAATAGAGTATACACAGATTGGAATGGCAAAGAGGCAAGACATAGAAAATATCTATTCGAGGTCTAATTCCTTCAAACGAAAGATATCTTTTATGATGCTTGAAGGAGGAGCAACCCGAAAAAAAAAATTTTCTCCCAAAAGGAAAATCCCTAAACCAATCCCGCACAAACACCACAGGGCAACTTGCGTGCGCACACTCTATTAATCCATGACAATTCATGACACATTGACCATTCATAACGGATTAAAATCGTCATTTCCGGCCCGGCAACTTTCCCGCCCAAAACGTTTCTCTTTCCTCCATTACCGCAGCTGCCCACTCCTTAACCTCAGGAAGCTTGATGCCCTTCAACACATGGAAGAATTCCGACAAATCCAGCTTGCCTGCGTGGGCCCGTTCATACTCCACCGCCTGTAGCAACAGCTCCATCTTGTCAATGTCGTGGACGAATTGGGCCTCCGGCGTATTGTCATCCTCGTACTCTTGGAATATATCTTGGATATCCTGGGCTGCAAGGCCGGGCACAGCGCCCAGAAGGGACTTGCCAATATATTCGATAACCTCCGCCTCTCGCCTGGCCTTTTCTGCCTTTGGTATATGGGTATCGGCTGGGGTGATGTCGCCAGCTATAGACTCGGCCATGTCATGTATCAGTGCCATTTTCGTGCAGCGTGGGATGTCGAGTTTGGCCGCGAGCGCAGGCGGGGCACACATGGTCATAATGGACATGCGATACATGTGGTCGGATATCGATTCACCGTTGGTGATGCCGAATCGACGCCATCCTTCGCGCTTTGTGGATTTTAGGCGCTCAAGAAGATGGAAGAAGGGAACGGGGCTGGAGGTGTTCTCTGCGAGTGGGTGTGGGAGTGTGGCGATAACTGTCACGTCCGTTGTTAGAAACTATCGTCTCAATCCCGAGACTGCAAAATAGACAGCGCAATAAGAAGAGGAGAAACACCAACCGGACTGAGCTGTCCATGGAGCTTCCTTGAGTGCAGTCGACCCCATGATGCAAGCCCCTAGTAAATGAGGGAAACGCTGTTATTGAAGAGGACTTGCGACAGTTCCAGCGCCAGTTCCAGCGCCAGTCTGGATGAGTAGTATATAAAAGAAAAGAAAGAAACAAAAAAGGAGCTCTTGGAAAGAATGACAGTCACAACCAAGTGTGCAAAGACTCTTGTCTGTATTTCAGCATTCAGCAGAGGATAAGCACCTGAAGCAGTGACAGAATGATTAAATAGAAGCAAGACCCGCGGTTTGCCTTGGGACAAACAGACAAACAGGGCAAATGCTGCAAACGTTGCAAACAAGACCACCCCTTCTTGTTTACTTCATTCTGCTGCAATCCGCGTTCTTTACCTAGTTATGTCATGTACGTAGTTAGGTAACTATTAGTTAGTAATTGAAACCAATAACTCGACAGTTGACGCTTTGATTATGATACCCCAAAAAATGCAATCTTCCACCCGTCCTCTTCCCAATCCTAAGGGGCTCAATTGGCTGGTCTCCTCGCACATAACTGCCTTTGTGCGGAATCTCAGGCTATTGCATCTTGACCAGCTCCCTGACTGGCCGGACATAACGGTCCGCACTTTTGCAAGTTCCCAACCAAATCTCCGCCAGCGAGTCAAGGCGGTCGAATGGTCTTTGTACCAGCTTTTCCTGATATGGGATCCAGAGGAGACTCAGAATGTAAGTTCATTATGAGAGCTGTTGCTAAAACGGAAGAAAAAGAAGTGTTCTAAACCTTCTTTATTAGAAATTGCGTCCCTTTTTCCCTCCACTGGAACCCTTGCAGTCAGTTAACCTCCGGGCTGCCCTTTTTCGTGCCCTTTCCGATGTCAAGAAAAATGGCGTTCTCGGAAGGGAAGCCATCCTCCGCAAAACGATGCTCGATGAATGTAAAGGGAAGAAATTTGAGGAGGCATTGTGCATGTTTTCCACGGCTGTGCTGCAGAAAAAGAGATTGGCTCATGCAAGGGCCCACCAAATTCCAGTGCTTAAGATGTGCTTCAGTGGGAGGACCTCCCCTCTAGATCAAGAAATCTTGGTTCCACTGATAATAGCACATCGTATCTCACTCACGGCCATGATCAACCATAAATGCTATGCGCGAGAGGCCTATGAACAACTGAAGAAGTTGCTTGACAGCAAGACGGATGAACTCGCTGTCCGGTCAAAGGAAGTTGCCAACAAATCAACCACAGAGGAAAATAGCTATACTAATGATATCATGAATTTATGGCTTGGAGATGAGAAATGGGCAGATACGATTCTCAATGGTGGCTTGCAGGCGCCTTCTGACCACGTTCTTGACTCCTCCTTTTCACAGACATGGTGCTTGGTAAAGAATGGTCGATTAGATGAGAAAAGCAGTCACCCGTCCTCCTCCGATCTACTAGCTGATTTGGATAATCGACTTGCAGAACAGAAAGCTAGGGTTGAGAGATGGCGGAAATTCAAGCAAACACTGGAGGAAGAAAGACATGCTGCACAGCCCTTGAAAGGCTCCATCTCATCCCAGCCACTAGCTTTTCGTGATCATCAATCGTTATCTGTTGTTTCACTTGCACAATCAGATCGAAAATCTGTTGATCAGTCACTTCACGACAATGAATACTCTTCATTAATTTCGGCGCTGGATGCTTCTCTTCTCAAGCATGAAGTCAACATTTCACGAAATAAAGAACAGCTACATTCTGCAGATTTAGGAAAACAGAGGCTCAAAAATCTTCATTCAAATCGTGATTATTCCATAGACCAAGCCACTTTAACTCTAATGGCAGACCAACCAACTCCAACTTACAGCTACATGGATAATATGTCCATAATCTCTTCCCTTCCAGCGCATGGTAGCACCAGAAGCTCCCCACAGTTCGAAAGTGAAGAAGTAAGTGGAGTTGGAACCCCACACTATGAATTTTCATCCGGCCACGGCACCCCCTCAATCACAATCGACTATGATTGCAACGCAAGCCCCAAATCCGAGGACGCGGAATCCCCACAACCTATCTCCGTCAACCCGACCAGGACCGCTACAAGCACACTCATCGAGCGCACAAGGAAATCCATGACATTCCTCCCCGCACCCACCGCCCGACCCCGCAAGTCATTGTCGCACGCGGCAAAGCCTCGAAAATCCCAAATCTTCCCCGTGAACCAGTTTGAGACCCCTAGAAAGGACAGAACTGGGAGTTTCCAAGAGCCAGACTCGGGGACGTCGATACCCAAGGAAGAACTCTTTAGTCAGGAGGCGGATTATGCTAGCGTGTTCAAGAGCAGGCCTAGGGTGGCTATTAGTCCTGTTAACTCGCCGTCGGTTCATATGTTGCCGATGGAAGATAGTGTCGTTGATGCGGATGCGGATGGTGAACAGGCCATGGACATACACGGTGGCATGGCTGGATCTGATTTGCAGAATTCGCCGTCGTTTGGAGCTCGGTTCACATCTAGAGTTTAGGAATAACAATTTGATTGTGTGGTTTATCTTACGATGGGAGGCTGTTTAGACCCCATTTATGCGATGCGGTTTATTTTTTCAATTCAGGTCCTAATATTGATTATAACGACGTTCTTTGGGAATTTTCCTTCGATGCTCGCTCGTTGGTTTATATCCCAGTCTTGAAGATCTCCCACTCATATACCTCTAGTTTTCCACAGATGCCTTTTACTACCTTGGAAACGATCATATAATAGTGACAGGAAACCTCGATGAATCGACGAAGTATCCGTCAGTTCCTATTTTCTTTCATATCCGGATATGTCCTCTGACTACAGAACGTCCGTGTTCGTAGTCCAATGCCCACTGATAGTCGAGGCATAAGGTCTCCGTGTTGTTTGATTCTGAAGTGCCGCTTGGAATTGATTGTAGCTCCGGTAAAAATATTCATTAAAATTAACGTTTTAGCCTGATTGCCCAACACATGCTTGCAAGCTTTCCCGCCAGGGGCCGCTATCAGTCCCCAATCCTCGTCCAATCAAGACGATTTTGCAGCAATCTACTGCAGAGGGGTGTCTGTTGTCTGTTTCTATAATCTCGAAAACTTCCTGAACACCTTGGATGATCCGCGTCCCACCATCTGTCAGGCAGAGTAGCCCCTTCAGCCGATGGATCTCGAAATCTTTCATAGTTGGAAGACTCGGGCTTGCTGGTTTAGGAAGTAGCTGTTGCTCCCACAATAATGATCGTAGCCATACATCCACTTTTGGTACGCTTTCTGGGGCTATCTTGTCAATGGTGAAGGAAAGCGTTGATATCGACTGGATGAGCATATATCTTTGTTAGAAGGAAAACGAACTCTAACACTTAACATGTTCAAGTATAATGTAGTGAAGAAGATTTATGGACAGTCACATACGGGATCGAGATGGCTGTGGCCCTTCTCACTGAAATCGACATCGGTCAGGTTATCATACGCATGGATCTCAAGCACAGTTCCTTCAAGATTTGGGACTTTGCTATGGTCCGTGACAATAATTTTCGCCACGCCGTTAATAGAGGTAACCCGCTCCTTAACCTTCTCAAGCTCAGCAGGTGTGATCAAGTCGCTCTTGTTCAGTATGATCACATCAGCATGTGATATTTGGAGATGGGCGGTGGTCAAAACTTGGCCATGGTGGATTCCCTGGATTTCTGGTGGAGCAGGCTCGTCTAGAAGACGGAGGATGTTCTTCCCATCGACGAGGGTGACGATTCCATCGAGGTAGATGGTACTGCCTAGCCCATCGTCAACCCAGAATAAGGGTGCGATGTTGCCTGGGTCTGCAAGGCCGGTTGTTTCCAGTAGAATGTAGTCAAATGTGCCTTGGCGTTCCATGAGCGATTCAATGGCCGCCACACCTGTATCTCTATTGGTGATATTAGCTGCAATTAGAGTAGGTGAAATATCCAGGGTGAGAGAAAGAAAAAAACTATTCTCTCACCGGACAGAACAGCATATGCAGCCATTTGCCAGCTCTAGCCATTCTTCAACTTGTTCACGTCCTTTATTGACGGTTATTGACTTCTCGATATCAATTGCTGTCCAACCACGTCAGAAACGCATCATACAAAAAGAGAGCACAACAATCAATAAGTTACATACAATCTCCAAATTCTACGATCCCTCCAGAACGTTAGAAAGCGCTGAAACACGGACATAGGAGTGGGTGGTTACAAGCCGTTAAGAATCACTGCTATTTTCTTCCCGTGTTTTTCACTCAGAATATAGTTGAGCAGCGTCGTCTTGCCCGCACCCAGGTAGCCTGCCACGGGCTTATTTTAGTCAACAGAATTCTCGTAACTATTCTATATATTTTATCTGACAGCCGCCCTCTGCATACATACCTGTTACAATCGTGATAGGCACTCTGTTCAGCTTCCGTTCAGCGGGGGTCTTTGCATGAGGGCCCTCCAGCGAGTTCATGTCGACTAGTTCAGGCGGGCCCTCCTCATCACTGTCATTAAAATCCATTTTTACTTCTTCTCGCAAACACAACAAAGTGTATCCGGAAGCCAGAAAATTTATATTCCTGTCTCGATCGATTTGATATCTTGATATCAAGTCCCTTACTTATCCATATACCCCGAGAGACTGACTACCTAAGGCTGCGACAACCTGTATCGGGCCACTTAGGGCTTAGGGCTGGTCGGCGCGGCAGAACTAGCTTCCGTACGAGATTGGTGTTTGTTCGAGGCAACGTCAGAGCCTCACTCAACGCGGACCGTCAACAACAACCTCGACACCCCGTTTCCCCTATTCCCCGCCAACAACGCCAGGCCACATTCATTGCGCCCGCTCGAGCTGAAGATGACTGCTGCTGGAGCTTCTCCCTCCAGCTCACCTCGGTTGCCCAGCCCCCCGCCATTCACCGAGGTCCAGTTTGGGCCCCAATCCCCGACGGTTGGCGAAGGGTTTAGGACATCTGATGAAGATCTCCTGGGATTACCTCATGAGCCCGACAATGCATCAATGCGCCGCATACGGCCGGGGACCAAATCTACAGATATGGCATCTGGACCCCCTCTCGTCCCGCTCTCCCAGGTTGGTCAATCCTACTGCAAAACCTGAAATGATTGGGCGCTAAGTAACTATGATCGCGGTTCAGCTCGATTCACCATTCCAATTACAAGAACACCTTAAAGCTTTATATCAACACTACACCAGGCCTAGCGACTCCTCAACTCTCAACCCAATAACTCGTGATGTTGCGCGGTATCTTTCAGAACCGCCGGAAGGAGTAGAACGCACTCTATGGCTCTATGAGCTCTGCCGGTTCCTCACCATGAAGGCCAATAACCTGATCGTAGCCTTTTTCGCGGAAGACCCACCGTGCTCTGCACAAACATGTCCAGAAATGCGCGCCTCAGAATGGCAATACCTGTGCGCTGTCCATGATCCTCCCAAATCTTGTTGCGCCATCGACTACTGTTGTCATACCCTTGACTGGGCCACGAACACCCTGACATCCCCCAAATACTTCCCAAGCAGGTTAACTCTTGGTTCAGAGTCCTCTGGAGGACCTCAGACGAGCATGAGGCATCTTACCAATATCTTCCGCCGCGTCTATCGCATATTCGCGCATGCATGGTTTCAGCATCGTGATGTATTCTGGCAGGTCGAAGGACATGATGGCCTCTACATTTTCTTTAAGACAGTCTGCGATGCATACAATCTCATTCAGGAAGAGAATTATACAGTCCCCGCAGAAGCGGAAGGTATCCAGCCTACAAACAACCGAGATACGGATCGTGACACCAGCCGCCGTATGACCGTTTTGCAGAGGGAGCCAGGAAATCAGGAAGAAAATCAGGAAGAAAAAGCAGCCCCGGAAAAACAGCCAGAACGTTCTATGCTCGAAACTCCATTGACAACAACTAGACGACATAAAGTTTCTCCTTCACTAGGGGCTATTGTCTCAACAATTACAGAAGCTTCAGAGGATGACGATGTAGGCAAAAATTGCCACACACCTAAGGAGGACACTATTGTACAACTCCCAAGTGCGACATCCCCTGATGGTGAAAATGAGCCATTGCCAACCACATCCACGGAAGTCTCTACGACTGAAGCAGTCCCGGTGGAACAAAGTATGTCTGAAACCCCCATCGATGGTGGTGGTGACGGTGAACATGAAAAGCCAGAGATGGCGAGACCGCCAGCAGATGAGTCAGCGCCAGAAAGTGCTTCAACTGAGGAGACGATAGAAGCTCTGGAATCGCCAACTACTCCAGTTAACACCTCGGAAAAAGTTGAGGAAGATTTGTCAGACGATAAAGCTACGGTTACTGAAACAGAACCGTCGAAAGCAGATGAGGCAGCTACAGAAACGACGGCCGGTAAGGAACCAGGTAGCCCTGACGCTCCTACAACTGCGATTGAGGCCAAGCCTGACTCAGACAAACCCTTCTAATTCCTCCGCTTTCTTTCCATGTTATTGTTCCCAATACCTTTCTAAATTATTTTTCTTTCTGTTTTTAACATCGTTTATTGGGAGGGAACTTCACGCGGCGTTTTTCCCCAAGAATATGCCAAATATACTTGCTTCTATTAAGATGTGTACATGATATATACCCATATGTATATTGTTCTTGTCTTGTTACGGCCCACTTCCATCCTTTGAGATGACATTAACAAAACCTATTTTCGGGTCCTCTATTTCTATTTTATCGTTGTCTTTCCCCCTATTTATCAGCAAATCGGCCATTTTTTACACTGAGCATCATTGAAGCGCTGGAATCGTTGCGGTTTGAGGATATATGCATATAGGGTTAGTTTGGATAGATATCTTTATTAACTTGCCTATTGTTATTATCATTAAGCGATGGGGTAGTATTCCAAACCGGAGAGCAGATCTAAGCCTTTGCACACCTTTCTTCCTTACTTAACTCGGAGTAAACTGTATATCATCGGCCTTAATCCAGGACAGAATATATATAGCCATTTAACTACTTTTTACGGCGCAGTTATCTTCTATTAACATCGTCCTCTTCATCTTCACGCTCTGCATCATTAATAATTGATTGGGGAGTAATGACACTTCCAATCAAACCCTTACGGATAGATCAGGTCACATCGCCTGTCAAGCCTATTTCATTTCTTAATAGTTATCGGCACAAACTTACGCTATATATATATATATATATATATATATATATAGCAGCTCCAGCCATTGAGATTACTGGGCGAAGTTTTTCATCTCCAATATCCAGATTTTCCAACTTTTGCCAGGCCTCTTATTACAAACAAAATGTAGTCCTCTTCTCAGAAAAGCCTATTAATTCTGAACCATCAGGCCGCTGACCAATATGCAAATGGATGCCTTGGTTGACACTTGATCAATAGTTCAATATCCCTCCGTAACCCACCGTTGTTAGGTGAAGTTTGCCGTTGCAGGGCTACGGTATGAACCGTGTTGACCGACCTTCTAGGATCAGAGTGGTGCATTTGGTTTTGTCTGCTGCGAACTGCAATCTGTCAAAGATATACTTGCGTACCTCAAGGGTGATACCATTATAATATCAGATATGGAGCACTCTCCTAAGCAAAAAGAGTCCTAGGTATCAACTGCTCTGCGACAAAATGCAACGGTGTCCAGAAGGAGAAGGAATATATGGTGTAGAAAATAGGATAGTAGAAAAATGCTTCCAATTCTGATTAAAAATTGGCTATCTATGCAGAAATAATAAATAACATGTTCATAATATCATTAAATCTGACGATTCTGGCTGGTGATGAAGCGAGAATGGGGATATAGTGAACGTATGGAAAATAGAAAAGGAGAGAAAATTATATACAAAAGAAGTGATAAGAGGAGAGATAGACAAACCAAGAGGATGAATGGATGTTTTGAAATGGTGTGGAGAAATCGCCATGGAAGGAAAAGTAAATAAAGGCTGTATTATCAATTGAGCTGTATTGATGCGAGATCATATGGTTTGGTAGATTTTGGAAATGGAGGGGATACACATGAACGATGCAAGTAGATGGAGACTCCATGCAAAAAATGAGTAAACTTTGGAAATAGTAATCGAGGCCGTTCGAGGTGGGTTCGTTCTGAAGGGGTTGGGGGCAGCACATCCCATGTTTCTACAGCGATAACAGATTAGCATTGGCACAGTGCATCACGCAGAAGAAAATTGTACATACATTCATTAATTATCTATTTTTAATTTTCACATCCTGGGCAGGAATTTTCTTTCTCTCCCACTGCCTGATGAATGCAGGATTTCACCCAATTTACATACTAAGTCCCCATAATTGATAAGAAGCATGAAAAATTAAAACAAGACAAGAATGATAATGAACCATAGATATGAGGTCCTCAGGAGTGCAAATGCATTAAAGGATGCAAATGGCAAGGGGAATGAGATAAAGTCATTCCAACAGATAAAACAAAACACACTATTATAGAAACTGATTGAAATTTAACGCCAAAGAAATGCTGGAAAATACATTGGGAGAAATAAGGTGAGAGAAAACTTTAAGGGGAGTACGAGCAAGCTATGTATGGTTTTGGGAGGGGTATGCACCTGTTTTAATCAACCTCCAGAAAACAACATATTCAGAATGAAATCGGAATCAAAATCAAACCAAAAAGCCAAAAACAACAATAATAATAACAATAAGGCTTGGAAAGACTTTTCAAAATCATGTCTATAAAACTCCGTCAAATAAAACCTATGTCGTTGCCGAGATAGAGATGAAGAACGTGTATGCAGGAATAGCTGAAGCATATAAAATCGGATCCAGAAACATTTTCGCAAGTGATAAAAGAAATAGAGCATTTTTAATGTTTCCACCCATCGAAACAAATTATTTGAGCATCAGGTAACCCAATTTCCTCCCATGAATAAGGATAGCGTGAAGGCGGGGCGTGTAGCCAGTGTTATGTTGTGTGACCCCAACTTTCAGGGTATATTTATGTAGTTCAGAGCGTCCTATTGACATGTTGCCCCTTCCCGGACTGAAACCCGCGATGGCACATCTTGGGTTAATTGGTAAGCTGGAGGTAAGGAGATCTTCTGATGATTATCCCATTTCCTCTCCAGAACTAAGTATCTGAGGCTCTGGATATATACCATCGAAATTCCACGAGGGACATCTGGTTTGCAGTCCTGGTTTGAGAGGGCCCTTAGAGCTAAGATTAATAGTAATTCTGACTTAAATAGATCATCAGGATGACCAGCTTGACAATTGATTGTGTTGAAGGATGTCCCTAATCAGGGGAATTTGGTAGTCCTGGTACAACAGGATCCTTAAATGACGGATTAATCGGCAATTGCGACATGAGGAGGTCATCAGAACGGTCGATCTGATAACTTAATTGCTCTGGATTTTCTTCTAAAGGAGGATGTATAGAAAGGCCCCTTAGAAGTCTCGGTCCAACAAGATTCTGAAATGCGGGATTATTGGGTAACTCGTGCTTGAGAAGGTCTTCAGAAAGGTCAGTTTGACAACTAGTACGGTTTAAACCATCTTCAGGACCAGAAGGACAGAATTTCTTTGTTGGAACCGACGGTGAACCCGGTTCATCATTAGAACCCTGAGGCGGCGCATAGGAAACTTCACGCGCTAGAGCAAATGGAGTCCCAAAATCCTGGTTAATTGGCAGCTGTGATAAAAGAAAAACATGTGGCATGCTGGATTGCGCTTCGGGAACTGTGGGAGGTTGGCTTGTAGCGTTGAAGAAATCAAAATTCCGATTAACTTTGGCATGAGGAGGAGGGTCGCCAACGAGTTGACTGAGCTCAGAATGGTCCTTAAAAGCTGGGTTAATTGGCAAATTTGATGTCAAGAGCAGGTTATCCTCTTGCACTTGCTCAGAAAGCTCCTTGAAAGTAAGGTCAATTGACAGATTTGACAAGAAAAGGTTCTCAAAATGTGCAGTTTGAAGATCCTGGTCTCTAGGAAGGCAAGTTGATAAATCGGTGGCAGTAGGCTTTGTGAGGGTTGAAGTATCAAAGCTTGGACGATTTGAGTACCCAATGTTCCTGCCCTTTGATACAGGTGGATCCTTATATGCCGGATTTATAGGTAGGGAAGAGCCCAGTAAGTCCTCTCGATTTGTATGTTCGAAGATTTTGGTCTCAGAATCCACAACTTGAACTTGCAGCACCGCCTCTTCATCAACCTCAGAAGTATCACGGTATGTTTCAGATTCGTCACCTTCAGCGCAAGGCTGTGAGGTTGGCAAGTCCCCAGATAAGTGTGGTTCCGCCAACTGCACTGAATTGACCTCAGTACCGTAAGGACCGTGCCACCCGATACATGTGAGAACTTCCGGAGCCACAAAAGTACCCATCCTTAATGGTACAATGCCATGGACTCTAGAGGATAGCGTGACGCTCGATGGAGGTGCGGCTAAGATTGCCTCCCCATTAACACCAAAGTCAGGATTCTCAAAGCGCGCACCCATATCCGAGGATTCAAAGAAGGGAAGATGTAGATCGACATCGTTCAACGAGGCCAACGTCGTTAGATGGTGGTTATCTACCGTCGTTTTTTCGCCATGAGAATCGTACAACGGAACGTCTTCCGAAATAGGTACAGGTCTCGGTCCACTAATCAATCCAGCATCGTTAGCAACGTCAATCCTTCTAGGAAGGTTCTCATCCAGGAATCCAGGATCTCGTGGCGTCTGCATTGGGTCGGAAGGCGAAGGCTCCACATTCACAGCTGCAGACTCGCTCGCCATAGTGGGGGGATGTTCAGGGAACAAATTGAGTAGTTCCTTCGCCGACAGTCGATCCTGAGGTCTGGCACTTAAGCAAATATCAACTACATGTCGATAATAGTCTGGTATTTCCAAGGTGGTTGGTATTACGAACGGTCGAAACTGCTTGCCAGGGTCGTCTTCTTCGGTAGCCAGAGCCCAAAGAGTCATTCCCAGTTGGTATAGATCGGACTTGACCCCAATATACATTGATATCTTTTGGTTACTTTCTAACTTCTTTGTGAACTCTGGAGCCTCCCAGCCCACCGGACAACCCCTTCTATTGATATCAATGATTTTCGCATCATCTTTGTCGTCAATGACGATATTTGAAAGTGTGAAATCACCCTGAACAAAGCCAGCTTCATGAATTTCTGCAAGACCTTGGATAGTTTGCCGTGCCCATCGCTCTCTTCTGGCCCATTCGACACTTCTAACCCCTTTGTTTTCATAAAATAAGTCAACCAGGGCACCTTGGTCAGCGAAGTTGATCAAAAGACCTTTCACCACCATCATATTATCATCGACGACGATAGCTTTAAGTTCAATGACACATTGAGACCCGGACAGAGCATGCAGCGCGTTGATTTCATAAAGAAACTCATCCACAGATTCCGGAGCTGGGACTTCCTTCTTCACATAGAATTTGTTGTTCAGTTTCACCTGAAAAGCGAAACCAGACAGGTGGGTATCCAAAA